TATAGAGAAGTAAATCTAATAATTTATTTTTATTAGAGAAGGAACTTTATAACTTACTACAAGCTAATAATTCGGACTCTCCTCGTCAGTTTCAGCAATGATTAAGGAAATAATCTACAAAATTAGATTTGAACATCAGGCATTGAAGTTGACAAGACTAAAACAAACATTTTATTCAAAAGAAAATAAAGCATCTTCTCTGTTAGCATCTAAATTGGGACAGACAACCACATAAGCCAGGATTGAGTATTTAACCCCTTAGTGTCCAGACAGTTTTTCAATTTTCTCACCGTTAAGGACCAGAGCTGTTTTTTACATTTCTGCGGTGTTTGTGTTTAGCTGTAATATTCCTCTTACTCATTTACTGTACCCAGACATATTCTATACCGTTTTGCTCGCCATTAAACGGTCTTTCTAAAGATACCATTATTTTCATATCATATAATTTACTATTAAAAAAATTCTAAAATATGATGAATAAATGTAAAAAAAACCCACACTTTTTCTAAATTTAACCCCCAAAATATGTTATGCACCTACAACCGCCAAAAAACACCTGTACTAAATAGTTGCAAAAAATTTTTGTCCTGAGTTTAGAAATACCCAATGTTAACATGTTCTTATTTTTGCTTTTAAGTTATAGGGCTATAAGTGTATAGGGTTATACATGTAGGACATTGCTGTTTCAAAATATATATATATATATATATATATATATATATATATATATATATTTTTTTTTTTTTTACTCTTTATTTTTTTGTGCACATATAACAGTACAAGTTTGCCTTGCAACAACAGCATTGGCATGCATAAGAATTATATATAATCGAGAACGGTGTGGCTTCAAGGAGACATTTTTTGACATTTTTGTAGGACAGTATGCATTAGTTAGAGTCAGAAGAAAAACTAGAAGGCATGTCTTAGACTTAACGTCTGACTGTGTTTGTGTTATAACATGAGGTGTAAGAGACAAGCTAGTAATTAAGTAGAATTCTGTGTGAGGACAGGCTGCTTTGAAATGAGAGAGTGTCATAGATCATTTGCATTACAGATCTCTTTATAATTGAAAACATGATATCAGTATGATATAACCCACATTAGAAAATATCCATTTATATCTTTAGAAAATTCCCATTACAAAAATTATAACAGAACACAGAATCATTGGAAAAAGAAATTACAGCCATAAAAAACAGCTAAAGGCAAAACACCAGGACCATACTGTTTCACCATTTCATATTATTAACATTTTTCAGAAATTTGAATTCCCCAACTAACCAAACTATAAAATTCTATAAATCATCTGAAATCTTTATAAGTACATTTCATTGTTTCATAGAAGACAGGTAAAACACCAGACGTTTTAAAATTTTAGGCCCGTATCATTAATGAATAATAATACTAAAATATATCCTAGCTAATTGGCTGATTTGATTCCTCTTGTAAAACATAACGACCAAGTTGGCTGTGTGTCTAATAGACAGGCATCGGATAGTATGAGATTTATCAATTCGATCCATCATATTTGTTCTACTCTAATGCACGTGGATGCGGAGAAGGCATTTGACAGAATACATTGGTGTTATTTGGGCCAGGTTTTGATATCAATGAATTTTAACCTTTCATTTATAGATGTAATTTTTGCTTTATATAGTTAACATACAGGTACAGTTTCTGCTTATGGCTATACATATATATATATAAGGGGTTTGAGCTGACTAACTGAACAAGACAAGGTTGACCATTGTCACCACTCAGTTTTATATTAGCCATGGAGCTCCTATCAATAACGATCAGATCCAGGACTGAATTTAAAGGGATTACTGTAGTAAAATACACTCATAAAACAGGACTATTAATGGGTGATATAGTTCGAGCATTGGGTGAACCTATTATGTCTTTGAGGCAAATGAGGTATTTACAGAATTTGGAGATATTTCATATTACATGTTGAATAATCACAAAACACAGGTTCTACCTTTTAACATTACACTTTTGGCATTATCAAATTTAGAATTACAATACCATTATGAATGGAAAGAATCCTATATTTCCATCCTTGGTATTGATTTGGCCAAATTCTTTTTCCAATGTGTACAGGTGTTATTCGAAAAATTTGAATATTGTGCAAAATTTCATTTATTTCAGTAATGCAACGTAAAAGGGGAAACTAATATATGAGATAGACGCATTACATGCAAAGCAACATAGTTCAAGCCATGATTTGTCATAAGTGCGATGATTATGGCTTACAGCTTTGCATATAATGTGTCTATCTGGCTTTGGGACGTTGTCATAGTGATCCCCCACTCATTATTGTTTAAAAAAAGTTTAAACATCTCTAAAAGATCTATGGTACCATCACAAATTAAAAAAATATCATCGATATATCGGTGGTAGGACACCAAATTCGACACCCAAGGGTGAGATGAAAAAATTAAATGTTCTTCCCAATACACCATAAATAAATTTGCGTAGCTGGCTGCGAATTTGGTGCCCATCGCTGTACCCCTGATTTGTAGATAAACGGTATCATGGTACCAGAAAAAATTATTGTTTAAAATAAGGTGGATGCCTTCTAAAATAAATTCTATTTGTTCTACTTTAAAATTGGCTTTGATTAAGAAATGTTTGACCGCTTTTATCCCTATATCATGCGGGATGATACTATATAGGGATGTGACGTCACTTGTAACTAAATGATAAGTTTCTTTCCATTGAGTGGAGTCTAAAATTTGCAAAATATGAATTGTGTCTTTAAGATGTGCCCGTGTTTTTACAGCTATGGGTTGTAGTATCAATGTATTCAGAGATTCTTGAAGATATGGAATCAATTCCTGGGATGATTGGACGTCCTGGTGGATTAAGTGGATTTTTATGTATTTTCGGTAGATAGTAAAAAAACGGTATCTTTGGATGTGCCGTTTGTAAATATTTCCCTTCCTTTTCTGTGAGGATTTTCGTTTCTAATCCCTTTTTAATAAAATCTCCAAAATGTTCCTTTACCTTATCCATGGGGTTAGAATTGAGTTTTCGATATGTTGTGTCATCTGAAAGAATTCTGATTCTTCCATATATTTAGATTTTGATAGTACTACTATCATTCCCCCCCCCCCTTTATCGTCCAGCTTAATGACCAGATCCTTATTCTTTTGTAAATTCTTTAAGATACTTTTTTCTTTTATAAACATATTGTTGGGCAGCTTACCTCTGGTCTGTCTAGCACTGTTTATTAGTTCTGTGTGAATTGTTAAGTCCTGCACTGTCAGACTAGTTCATTGAAGAGTATCCAGCTCTCTTGGAGAAGGTGTCTGTGCTAGGTGGACCCTAGCAAACAGTTTAACTACCATAAGCCCGACAAATTTTAAGGCATTTCCATTCTCTTTACATACAGTGCTCTGAAAGAGTGTGTAACACACTTTACATAGTCTTACTTTCAAACATATATGTGCAGGGATCTGTATACTGCAATAGAAGTAGGATAGATTAAATTATATTAGAGTGATTTCTTAATTGTGAGAATTTCTATTTAAAAAAAAAAAAAAGGAAAAAAGGAAGTAGCATGGCATTTGCAACAGCATAATTAAATTCTTCAACGTAAGCATATGATGAAATGAAAAAGATTGCATTAAACCATGAACATATCAAGGTTTCTATGCATGATGCATTTTTAAGTGCTGACTGAAAAAAGTCAAAGCAATGATAAATGATCAATCAGAATGCTTTAATTATACCTCCTCTATATTATAATCTAGCAATCAGATTCTAAGCTGTTATTAAATGATGACCCCAGTGGCTGGGCCTGAAATCTTTCTGACAAAGCAAGAATATTTTAATACCACCTCAGTTGAAGCCATTGATGTTCCCAGCAGGCATAAAGGCAGAAATGTAATGAATCCTTCTACATGAGATTGACAATGGATGTCAAACATTGTGCACAGACTGATTCTTTTATTACAAACATAAAACAAGGGGATATTGCTTTAATGTTGTGTGCTTTGTAATCTGTCATTTGTCTGAACATTATCAAAGATACATATGTGAATGGGAACCAGTATGAATCAACACATGATCATTGTCACGCAAGGTAACAGTCAAATACAGTTGTTATAAATACAAAAGAGAATTCATTATCAGAGGACTCAAACATTAAAAAACCTGATTAATACATATTGGCATTGTGTTTTGAAGGAGATTATGGCTTCCATTCAATATTTGGCTGAACAGAACAATGCATGTCAAGGAAACAGCAGTACAGTGTGCATAACAATATCTGTTATTCTTTTTTTGTCCTGAAATGGCAGCTAAATTTGATCAATGACTGAACATTTAAGAGTAAGCAGCAAAGAAATATCAGTCCATTACTAAGAATTACATTTTCCAGAATGAAATAAAAGATTTCCTGTATGAAAAGAAAAATGATGATGGGAATAAAAGTGGGAGTTATTTTTTTCCATGTAATCAGATTGCACTCCCCACGCCCCAAACAGTTAACATATAACACAACATAGTGATGTGATAGAATTTATATTAGTGAATTTTTCATTGGTTTAAAATGTCTTACTATTATCAGAAGCATGATGGCTAAAGCACAGTTAGCGGTTTTGGAACATTTGCTCTGCCTAGGCATAAAACAACAGTTGAGCAAACATTGTCACCAAGGTGTACAAATCAGAATTTTATCTGATTTCAGGGCACAGATTAAATATTGCTTTTGGAGACATGGCTTCGTCAATACATACAGTGTTGTAATCCGTGTTTTTACCCAATACAGAATTCTTATTGTTAGATCACAGACAACTGTCGGGATACGATCTAGGAAGATCAACAGTCGTCGTTAAACCTACTTACTTTCAGATTGCTTACTTCTCTCAAAGCATTACAGATATTATCAGAGTCGGTGTGAATTAAAACAGGCCAGCCTGCTAAGTGCCGTCATATCACTGAGCAGAAGAGATGCACAGAACAAAATGAATAAATGTCAACCTAAATCTGGACAGCCATGGACCTATGGCACTCTAACAGTTATTCCAGAAGAGGAAATGATAAAGGACAATCAATCAAGATGTCATTTCTCACTTAATTCTTTTTAATTTTTCCCATCAAGTGTGTTTGGGTTTTAAAAGGCCAATGATTGTCCAGCATCAGTCTAACTCTTAAATTCCATGCTAAAACAAAGGTCCATCCCTTTTTTCTTGAAAGAGTGTAACACAAGAGTGCCACTGTATGTCTGCAGTGCTGTTTTCCAGTCAAACTCTACTGTCCCACCCAAAGAGAGGGCCTGGTAGACCAGCCATCTATAGTCTGCACCAGTAAGCACCTGTCACCACATTTATATAGTTCTTAAAAGCAGAATGTGTTCATGAATATCACAGCAACTACAGCGCACTTGCTATAGTTGCTGTGAAAGAGCAGAAAACGGTTTATAGAATATTTTTTGTGCTCTCCCTTGTAACTTGTAGGCAAAAAGGTCTATGCAATCTCTATTGGTTCTCTTTGTTAAGAACTAATTGAGAGGTGATGGAAGAGACCATCATTTTTAAATTTGATTTTCTAAAGATGGAATTTTATGGTCCCTCTGTTTTCCATGTCTTGGCCGGATACACTGCTGCCTCCACGAACATGGCCTGTTGAAAAGGAAAGACCCTTCTATTTTCCAGTAGGTATGACTTAAAAGATGATTTGGGACAAGCCCCTACCCTCTCTATAGCAACATGTACAAAAAGTCACACCTCAAGTTCAGTTTTACAGTCTGGTGACATCAGGTAAACTGACCCCTTTAACCATTCTCTGTACAGAGACAGAGAATTTACAACCCATATTATCCATGATGATGTTTACATGTTCCCAGTTCTCTTTCATATTCATATAAATTAACCGCCTGGAGCATTTTTGATGGTCTTAACTATTTGGATTATGTAAATGACCTTACATTGTGGAACCAGGTGTATTCAGAATCATTTATGTACATGTTCACATGAAACATATTAGTATATAATATAACCATATAAATATATAGGTCACAAATACAGTCAAAATTGTTTTCAGATATTTCAAACTGCAATGTATTTACTGGAATAGAATGAAGCTTTGCTGGAAAAAAATTGTCCCTCTAAACTTGAAACATCTGTTTTTATCTATTTATAAAAATCATGTTTGTCCAAAATGTAAAACCCCTTTTCCGTCATTTATTTATTGAATTATGTTTGCAATAACTAGTGTTAAAGGATTTTCTTTTAGCGAATGACTTTCATGGTTGTTCTACTTCAGTAAAAATAAAGGGTGTGTGAGCTATGTAATAGATATTGTATAACAGCAGCCTGCTTGATTCCATTTTATATTTTTGTAAAAAAACAAACAAAAAAAACTCCTTTTGCATTAACTGGTAAAAGGGAAATAAAAACCAGTACACTGATTGAGTTACAAACACGCCACAAATTATATTTATTTTTATTAACGTCCAAGTATTTTGTCATTAAGACTTACATAATATTTGGGTTCACCAAAATAAACCCAAAGAGGTTGTATAAAATGTAACATACAATTACGCAGTAACGTTTCATTCTAAGAAATAAAAAACAGAGTTATGACAGTGGAACAGAAAAGTCATAACTATGCAGCTCCACACAACAATTTAATAAAATATCTCAAAAGCAGAGGGATATATAGTGACCAATTTCAGTTGCCTTCTGAATGCCACAGATGTACACTGCACTATGAAGCCTTCTCAATTTCAAAGATGAAACGGGGAGAAATCACCATGGCATCATATTAAGTCAACATTTTCACCTATTTGTTAATTACTTTACCATGTAAAGATGTAAACCATGATGTCCAACCTTGTATACATATAAAAGTCACAAAGTAAAAAAATAAATAATAAAAATTATATATATATATATAAAACAAAGGATGATACATAGTGACACAATAAAACATAATTAAATAAAACGTATATTACAAAGGTTAAGTTGGAGGGGGTAGGGTTGAAGTAATGCTATGGAGACTTACAGTTAGTGGGAACTAGGTTCATGGAGGGACCTGCCTTCAAGGTGTTATAGACCTGTAACTCCCAATCACAGGCAGGTGAACACACTTCTGTACATTGGTCTACTGTCATGCATTGTTTCCCCCAGTGGTATGATGCTGTTGTCATGAGACTGCAGCATTGTTATTGTGTCTATTTACTGACCATTTTTTACCTACGTTATTTTCTACTCAACCATCCTTGGCCCTCTACCACTAAATTATGATAACATGCCAGTAAATGGAGGACATTGCTGGCCTGAAAAGCTATATAGGAAAAATGGAATGATGTTTTCTTAAATTACAATTCTTCAAAATAAAGTAGAGCAAAAAAACAAACAAAAAGTGGGGGGAAAAAGTACAAGAGGAAGGAAACATTTTTTGAACCTGCATATGCCTTGACATTGTTAGGTGGTCTTATTTGCAAATGGCCTGCTAAAATTCAGAACATTTTCTGGCACATTTGATATTGTATCTGAAAAAGATTTTCTATGCCGCTTCTCTAAAGACGGCGACCATTTTCTTAATGCCATAACTTGAAATCGGCATAGTTCTAAAAATCAGCATTATAGTTAAAAAAATCAAAAAAATAAATTAAAAAAAAATCAATAAGACTGATACATCACTGTTCTACTAGAATTCTGATAAAGGCCTAAATTCCGGGAACTTTACTCCAGGAAGGATATTTCAGCCAAATCATAATACTATAGATACAACAGAAATCACATTCCATTGGTGTTGGCCATTAAAAAAAAGTGCTTTAGAAAAGAATGCGTAATTAACAAAAATATATTTTCATAGGATTTAAACTTAACAGTAGTGTTTGTGCATTCTACCATTCTGTGAATAAAGTATGCCACGACTATGTAATGTTAATAACTCCTCTGTAAACACTTCAACAATGTCACTTTACGATGTTCTACAACCAAGATGTGACTGACTTAGCTATTTAGTAGGAAAATCTTCACACAATGAGTGTGTTCACAAGGCTACAGGTTGTAGCACCTCATGAAACATGATATCTTGAAGATGTGTTTGCACACCGTAAAGCCACTGTCCTGAGGTCCCACCAATTGAGTCTTCACTGAATTCACTTGGACTCAGCTTTGAGTTCACTCTTGAAACAGGTGGAATGGCCCTTAGCTTTTGTTTGGGTACAGTCAGACAAAAGCATGCAACTATTAATCTCTGGGTATACATATGATTCGACATTCTGAGGAGACTACCAGCAACTGACTTTAAGAATATGAAATGAGTTACCGTATGCAGCACATGGAATGTCAACATTTGAATCAATGTGCTAAACTACAGTACATAAGTAGGAAAGAGAAGAAGAAGAAAAAAACCAACCAACTTTTGAAAAGGTTATATTCCACGCCATAAGTCACTTCTATGTTGTAGATTGTTTAGAAGGAAGTGCTCTTGTGGCAATTTGACAAACTACACATGAATCTGATTAACAAAGAGAACAATGATATCTAATAAAAGGAGTACAGAAAGAAAATAGCCCATTAAATTAACAGAAAGAAACTTCAAAAAATTTAAGGAATATTGAATAGATAACATTACAAAACAGGGTGCAAATGATCTTCATTGAGATTTGCAGGTGTCAAGACAACCACTTATAACCGTACATTACAAAACAAAAATCAAATAGTAAAATGTACATTTTTTTTTTTTAAATCAACTTTCCATAGGAACAAAATATTTGGCTATATGACTGGTTCTCTTAGCAGTATATATACTCTGAAGAACCAGCATGAATACTGAAAACATGCATTAAATCTTGCACTGGTGTCCTAACCCACTGCACCTATTAGTATATTGAAGGGTATGGGTGCTAAATGGGTTATATAGATTATAATGAATTAGGAAGTAAATTGTAAATTAATTCTCTACTCCACTACCTCCTGAAAAAAGTCCATTATAAATGTAGAGTAGGCAGGGTATAATCTATATACATATACAGTGTAACTATTTATGCACTCCTACCTGCATACAAAATAAATGGAGTCACACTATACAGTGTAAGGAAAAGAAAACTGCAACATTTGAATAGATTAATAATGTGACTGGTTTTTGTAAAATATATCTGTAGAGAAAAAAGTACTACTATAGCATGGCATGTAAAAAGTAATTATCCATCTATGAACTTCAAACACCAGGATGATGGTCAATTTAACCCATTGGTAGCTGGAAAGTCACAATTTAACAATAGTATTACTATCACAATAGTAATCCAAACCTGTATTCCCAACACTACAGTGCCCCTGTCTCTAGTTATATACAGCCACCCCTCCCCATTTGCCATAAAAATGTATAAAATAAAGCTTTTACTCACTTTCTTCCCCTCCCTCAGCCATGCTCATTTGTATGCTTCCCGCAATGTCATTGAGGATACATAGCTTCCTCTGGCAATGGTCCCATCCAACGCTCCTCACAGAGGAGCATTGGGAGCCTGATGTGCATACAATGCTTGTCTTAGGAAAACATTAAATCCAATGTTTTTCTATGAACTTCTGCATCGTGTAACAGAGTTTTACTCGGTCAGTGCAGAGGAAAATCCTCTAGTGGCTGTTAGTATGGCAACCACTAAAGGCGTCTTTAAATCTTCAAGGTAAACATTGCTCTTTCTGCAACACGACAATGTTTTTAAAAGTACAGGACCACTGATTGAACTGAAGTGGTCTGGATGACTTTTGTGGTCCTCTAAGCTCTGTTCTAAAGCCAATAGTATAACAAGCAGCTTTGGAACCCAAACCTATTATTAAGTGATAGGTGTTTCAATGGCAGCAAAGGAGCAGCAGAACACATCAACAGTTAGCAGTTGAGATCATTAAACTCGCAGATAAGATACCCTGGCAATATTACAGCTTTAACTTGTGGTACTAGAATTCACAATATTTCTGCTTTATTCTGCCAGAAAAAGCAAAATGGCTGCTCCCATAAAATGTAGCCATGTGATTTACACATGGAATATACCAGTATTCAGCAAATAGTGGTGTTAGTTAATGTAACGGTGATACTAGACAGTTTGCTGTTTAATTTCCATTAAAGTGTATCTTCTATTTGTTGCATAAAAATATTCTCCAAATTCTATTTTATGCTTTATTTCTTTTCTTTCAATTGTGTTGAGTTTTAAATATAAATGTTGGCACAATTTAGCATTATGGGTATGCTTCCTTCCTAAAGGCACAATCACAATATTATTTTACTTGCAGGCTTAAGACAGTCTCCTTTTTCTCACAATTCACTCCATGTAACCCTATTGTTAGCTCAAAGCCTGTTGAGATTTTGACAGTGCTAACAGGAAAGGAAGCCCATGAGGGTAAACAGTACCTACATTTACACATTAAAAAAAAATTCAATCAGAGCCTACAAGCAGAATTAGAAGTATTTTATTATGCAAACAATAAAAAAAGATATAAAATATGTGCTTTACAATAGAATATTTTAAAATACTCCTGAATATAGAATATTTCAGTTCAGTGAAGGGTGAGCTATGCTATAAATAAATCACATAGAGCAGCAAAATAAAAGTTCAAGAAATACAAACAAGTTCTGAATCTGATAACTAGTGTCCTTACTCTTCACAAGCGGTAAAATACATAGATACATAAATAAGTCTTTTTAAAAAGTACTCACTACTTTAAAGTAGAATCAAGACCAATACAGCAAAGGCAGCAAAGGTGTCTACTGCCCAGTGGCTTTTGACATCTCTCCCACTGACCTTGCTTTGTTACTTTAGTGCAGATACAAAGATACAGTATCAGAAATTCAGTAATTTAGCAAGAATTATCATGCAACAAAACAAAATAATATCTAAAAAAAAAAAAAAACATGTAAAACCCACACTCACAGAATGGTTCACGGCATGTTGAACATCTGAAAAATACTGCTACGTAAGCATTTCAGTGGCATAAAATCCTCAATAATGCTTTTGCAGTGCACAATTTACAAGCACTTCAATAACATCAAGTGTCCATTTAAATAATTCTTAATGTGAACATAAAGTTAGTTAAATAAATAGAATGCTTTCAGTCCTGCACATTAGCTATACAGAGCTATATATACAGCTCTTTATATCTATATAAAGTTAACTTGAAAAGGTCCATATTTCATAATAAACTACTTTGCCCAGTCATAAAGGAGTTTTATTTGACCTTGTCACTGCTGGCTAGACCTGCAACTCGTGTTTTTCTAGAATATACAAAACAAGGAGCTTGCAGGATCTTCTTGCAGAAAAGAGGGTCCACACCTTGGGCTACAACAAAGTGACACATAGTGTCACACACATAGCAGTGAAAATGCGTCGCTCTAACAATACCCAATCATTATTTACGTCATATTTTTTATGTTAAACATATGTATATATTTACACACACATTTTCCTCAGTTTTATTTTAAATACAATCAAGAAAAAAAAGATACAATTTGTATCAACAAACAAAAGGTCATTTCTGGTTATGCGAGGTGGTAATTTGGCTGCCCTCCCCTGTTGGCATTGAGGTGGCACACTTGGATTGGTTAAAAGAGACTCTCAATGAATAGGCCCACCATCAGATTAAGCAATCTGAAAGTAATGGTAATGCATGTAAACAAAACAGCAAATGTTTGTGTGTTTATATAGATCTATATAAAAACACACACATACCGATATATTGTTATTTGACACACATTGACTAAATCATATTAAGCAATCACACTATAGCTAATCATGTAGTAAAAACTACAGCAAAGTCTTGTTTGATTTAGGTGACTCATACACAATCTATCTTCAGACATATGCAGACTACAGCCTTGCCTCTGATTGTTTGGGGCTAAAATAATTTGAATTATTTTTGTAAATACAGTCAACGATAAAGACAATTAAACTGGCAATAAAATTGCCATCTGAGAACTTCCAATTAGAAACACGACTACTGTATCAAAATTAAAACTATTTCACAATAATGCAGGCATAATACGAATATTATGTACATATTCCACTTTTTCCATTTATTCCGATGGATTTGATTATTAAAAGAACACTTCCACCATTTTTATCTTATGGGATAAAATGATTCTACTGATCTTCCAGCTGTATCTTTCAAAAGTACATATTTTGCGTTCATTTACCAATATTCAAAGCCCTGTATTTTTTTGCTGTTTATTTGCATTGTGGCCCTTCATTGTGCCCACCATGCAAATCACAGACAACGGGGAGAACTGATAGAGCAGCCAAAGGCCCATCCTCAGAAAGCCAGAGAAAACCCTGACGGTAGCTAGACGTTCCCTTTGTTTCACAGTAAGAAACATTTAGGCAGTTATCACCTTCTCATGAAGAAAGAAACGGGCTTTCAATGTGGCCCTTCCACACTTTCATGAAAAAAAAAAAAAAAACAACAAAAAAAAAAACTAAACCCCCCCAAATCCAAGCTGTAGTCGACAAAAGTCTATAGCACAGGTATACTCGCTTTGGATCGTCATCAAAAATATCTAGATGATACAGATTGGATTCTTTATAAATTTAAACACGAGAATGCTTATGGATCAGAAACCTGAGTAAGAGCAGAAAACAAACAATAAAAAAGTGCCCAATGAGGCAATATTTTTTTTTCTGCAGGTTTTCCTCTTATTTATGCATTAACACATAGACACAAATTTCTCTAAAACAAAACAAAAAAGTGAAACATCTTAGCAATACATTGCTATGAGGACTTGTAGGAGGACGTGCTGCTTCTGAAAAAAATTCCATAACCTGCTTGGAAAGAGAAGTGGCTAAGACCACATATAATATTGGCCATCAGGAAATGGCACAAACTTACGTCTATTAAGGAGAAAGATGTATAAGTGGAATTTATCAATCTATCTCTTAGAGATAACATAATTTTTTACAACAGACCTCGACCTCATTTTTCAAGAATCAACAACAGTACTGATTTGCAGAAATGAATGGTCCATCTCAAATAATTTAATTGATCGGTGTATGTTTCAGTGGGCACAAATATTGTAAAAATCTGGGTTTAATCCTGAGAACAGACATTAAGTACCATTGATGCATCACACACTGATTTTTATTAAGATCTGTTTTTGATTAAAAAGTATAGAGGGAAGCGTCTATACTAATGTGACTAAAGATCAGTCCAAAAAAATTAATTGCCCCCTACTTTTATGTACCATTTTGCTTTCTTCCATAAATGCACTCTTTATAATATTTCAAAACTACATATTCATACCAAAATTATTTAGAAAACCTAGATATTATCAAGCAGAGTGCTAGAGAGAAGAAACAAAAAGAGTAATGGAACCACCCACTGGTAAATGTTTGTTATGACTGCCAATTTAATTAGCATAGCATAAATGTTGTAGAACAGAACTATTGATTGATAGCGATATAAATATCTGAATGCAGGGCAATACTAACTTTCTGTGGTTGTCCTATTACAGACTCCTTTATGAACTCTAGTTCGGCTCATTGAGAAATTTCTGCAAGGCAGGTGCTCTGGGCCAGTGCCTGACACATGAGTGTAGCTACATGGACCTAAAGCACCAGAGAGTAAGAGGACCGACTATCTGATTGACAGCCAGGGAGGTGTGATAAGGTTAATTTAGAAAACTGCCAATTTTCTAATGAAAATACAAAAGACATACTCTTCACACACAAAACACTTGGCAAGCGAAGATTTTTTCTTTTTTTGTGTTTGGAGTGTTCATTTAATATTTATTAATCCAATTCCTACAACAGCTTAGTTTATGGTTATATATATATATATATATATATATAAATAAAATAGGGAACCTACTGAGAGAGTGTGCGTGTGTGTGTATATATATATATATATATATATATATATATATATATATATATATATATATATATATATATATATATATATATATATATATATGCATGTACACACACACACATAAATAAATACACATATACACACACACTTGCAAAGAAGCACTCATTCGACTTGAATTATTATTCAAATATTTAAATCTTAATGCAAGTCCATGGAGTACTTCTCTGAAATTTTGTGTAGCTATTTGACCAGAATAGCACTGTAGCATTTACATTTCTAAGCCAGTGAGTGCAGAATATTGTGATTGTGTGTGTATATACACGCACAATATAATTTGTTAAGTACCAGTGCATGCCTTCATGTTTCACACCTCACATGCCTTCATGTTTCTGTATTTCCCTGATCTATGAGTCATAAATGGGTATTTAAAAAAAAAAAAGTTAAATGTTGGAAAATTTTAGATCATAATATTGCACCTTTATATCAAATGAGGCATCAGAAAATAGTGTAGTACTAAACGTACCTCACAGCGAGGACATCACATAATGCAAGCCTCATCAACTAGCAATTAAAAAGTGCAGAGAGGGGGGAAAAAAGAAACTAGGTAATTTAGGGTTCAGTTTGATGATGGTAATGATGTAAATAAAGCTCATGGAAATTGGAATGTAAAGGCAGGAATACAGCATCTTTGCAGATTAACAAGAACCGTTCCCACAGCAATGAAGGCTGATTGTCGCAGGAAAAAAACAAAACATACTGTTAAAACACTATTTTAGTATATATGTGTGTATATATATATTTATACACACACGTATACTGATTTTAAACTGCAAATACACGAGTATGCATGCAATATAATTGCTAACAATATGAATAGGTGCTTCTATATACAGCTGGAGAGCCTTTACACAACTTAATGCAAGGAACTCCGGTGCTGTAATTAAGTGCTGGTATCTCCAGCATTTGCTAGGGTTAACAGACTCCTTCCCTCCTCTGTATTCAGATTTGGAAGGAGAACCATTGACCACCAAGGAAACTCTGTGGTTCAACCTGCCATGCAGGTCTAGCAGGGATATATACCTGGGCAATAAAGCATGCACTCCTCCAGGAATGCTTTTTAAAAATCCCTAACCACAGCTTTTACAAAAAATAAAATAAATAAATTAAAAGTTTATTGTGTTCCGAAAATTTGTACCACGGCAAATTGCTCAATGGGCCAAACTACGCGAGAAAAGGTTTTTAGTAAAACACTGCCAGCTTTCATTCAGGCGACATGATCAATAGATACTATTGTCCAGACATTAATTGTGCTGATTAGCAGTGTTGATGACCCGATCTTAACCTGGAAACTATAACAGCGGCAAGCTGCTGGGCATCCGTAACATGTGGATTCTTTTCCATGACAGAGAGTACCACGCTAGCCGGAAAAATGTTGCACAAATTTTTGTAAGTTTGATATTGGTGCTCAGGAATTATGTGTTGTTCCCTAGGTTCACTGGACATTACTGGCCAGTGAGGAGACCTCCAGAGCTGTTCCATTTTTTCAGGCATGCTTCTTACCATGACTGGTTCATAGCAGGGCTGCATTAGGTTGTTGCTCAATGGGTAAGAGTGGTAATTGTATGAGTCAGTAGGACATGGTAAAGGGTCCCAGCTGGCATGCTGTTCACGGCACAATGGAGGTCGTCTTTGCCTCATGGGGTTGCTCTCGTAGAGACGAGAGTCCGATATGCTGTCCATTCTGGTCATTACCAGTGCTCTTCCAGGCTGAGCGTTGGCAGATGGATGCATGTTCTCCGGCATGGGATAGTCTCCGGGACAACTAGAGCGTGCCCCCACAAGGGGATGCTGAATATGCAGGGCCAAATGTGAAGAGGACTGCTTGCGTGGAGCTTGCATGATTTCCTCCTGCCCATAGCTCTGTACTCTGTTAAGTGGTTCATGGTAACCATGAGTAAACTGTTGCAGACGATTTTGTGGTGGAGGTCTCGAAGGTTTCATGTTGTCATCGGGCCCTGGGTCTGAGATGCCTAAATACAAGTCACTGTAAGAGGAATAGGAGTCACTGTTCATATGACTCATGCAACTCTCTGGACATGGACTGGAGTTTCTGGAAAAAGCTCCTCTGTCTTGCTCTGAAGTGTAATAGTCTGAGCTGTGCATACTGCTGATACTCAGATTGGAAAAATCACTCAGCATGGAATAGTAACCATGGTCTCCCAGAGACTCATATTTTGGATATTCCTCTGTGTAGCTCACAGAATTACCGTGACTGTTGGTTACCAGAATCGGTGGGTAGTGGACACTTGACATATGATCTAAAGAAGACTTTTGGTGAGAAAACTGTGATGACCCAGGCACAGGGCTGCTGGCAGATCGAGTATTCAGAGCACTTACAGCATGATTTTTTGAAGGAGGAAGGATTGGGACACTAAGGGCAGACACCAAGGATGGCACAGAGCTTGTTTCTGACTTGCGAGCCGCTGAAAGCCTCTGCTCTGGTTCTACAGGTGCAGAGCGAATGCTGGGATCTGACTGTCTTTTGGGGGCAATGCGTTTAGTTTCAACACAACCTTCCCCTTTGGAGCTGGATGATCCAGTGCCACATTTTACCAGTGCCCCTTCACTCATGGTTTTGACAGCTGATAGTTTTGCACTTATTCTGAGCTCATCTGCAACAGATCTCAAAGGCTGGTTGGCTCGCTCAGGGTGGTAATATTTACACTTGTGTCCATATGTACATTTTTTTCCTGAAATAAATATGAGACAATTAACATCTGGCAGCTATTTGTACCAATCTTTAATGCAATTTTTAAATTTAAATATGATTTCTGCAACTTCCTAAAATGTACCGGTAAGTTTAGAATATATATTCTGTCCAGCTAAACGTGTGGTCTCTGAGGGCAGAAAGAGCCCCTGATTTTGTCACAGTGTTTCTAAATGGTTTTACTTTTATTCTGAGTTACAGTTTAGCAAAACTAAACCTCCTCATAATTCCTGCATAGTGAAAAGTTAAATAGAGTTTTAAACACTAAGTAAGAGCAGCAAGAGCTTTAAAAAAAAACCAAAGAATATTCAGATTATAGGCAAGTTTATTTTAGTCTGGCCTATTGTTAATAAACGTTTGATAGAATTTAATACTGTGTTATAATTAAACTGTTCTTTATACAGAGGTTATAAATATATTGTAATTCAAGTATGACTACCAATAAAACAAACTGTTAAAGGAAGTCTAAAACAAATAAAACAGAAAATATCACATAGAAGAAGAAGCAGGGAATCACACCAGTACAGTGCAGTATACCTATTTGCTTACCATAAGGACATGGCTGCTTCTTGTGCTCAGGAATAACAGGCTTTTTACGAAGGAAATTTTCCAAACTGGGACCATGCCTTCCTAAGGGATCATCTGGAGGCATAAATCTGAAAATAAAGATGTGGCCCATTTTCAGTGTGAGACAGTGGTGTGAACATACAAGGTATTAAGGGAACAAAAATACTAAATACAACATTAAACCAACATCCATGTCTGAATTGCATAAAAATGTCAGATGTTTAATTTTGTTGGTTAACCCTTACCCTGTTTCCTTTCTAATGTGAAGAAGCTACATACTGATCACCACTACTCTAAGTGCTGGTGTCTGGAGTGGATTTGAACTGCTCTACAAGATAATATTTACAGCTGGGCACATTAAACCATGCGTTTGAAATGTTAATCTTGCTGTAGAGGCTAGATCTATAAGTTTGTCTTGTGGATGATGATCTGGTGGGGAAAGGGGGTTAATTAATTAGGAGTTAATATATCCCAAGGAAAATGTTAAAGCAAGTACTACTAAAGACATAGCTATGTATTTCATTATATGCAGACATACAGTAGAAATCAGAATTTTTTTTTTCCAGTTTAAAGTCAGGGAAAAAAAATCCACATGGAATCTATATATCCCCTGGAGCCACGCTTTTCAAAAATAATAATATACTCACATTGCGCCCAACCATAGTGCTATCTATCTATTTATCTATATCTATATATCTATATATCTATATCTATCTATATCTATATATATATATATATATCAATCGCACGTATTAAGCAGTTAGAAAATCTCCATATAAAATGTCCCTAAAAAGGCTCCAGATATACATTCAGGGCTCTTGTCAGAGATGTGTACAGAATGTGCGGGTCTAACTACTTTCTATTGGACATGTATTTATTCCAGTACATCCCGCCATTGAGTTTTGTGCTGTGCTTAAACTTTAAAATGTGAAAATAATGTTGATTAATAAATAACATAGCTATAAGTTAATAGTCAATATATTGCAGTAATAGGATTTTCTTTCCCAGAAAATAGATGTTTCAGAAGGTAAGCAATACCATTTGAGAAGGAACTTCTTCACCTCTTGTGTCTGTCAATATCAGTTTTGTCTTAATGAATTGCTAAATAAACCCATTATAGAATTATGCGTGCGGAAAAGCATGCAGAAAATAGAGGAACTATCTAAATACAATTATTAATAATAATAATAATAATAATAATAATCACTTTTAGCCTAAGGCTTAATACTTTTTATTTACATGTCTTTCACATTAAAAAATGTTTAGAAAGGAGTGCACTTAAAGGCACATACTTGTCATTGGCAAATGAGTACATCAGGAGCCGTTCTTCTATGAACTTCTTCCATTCTGGCTTTTCATTTTGCAGATCACGATAGTTGTCATTTGATACAATGATGCCATCAGAATCAAAGGCCAGCTTGACTATAAAGCGGTCGTCATAACAAACAACTCTCCGTCCCTGAACTCTGCGAGATGGGGTAAATACCAATATCTTCTCTTTTTCAAGCTTTCTTAAAACTTCTTGGTCTGTGAAAAGAAATTGTTACTTTTCAGTGGGCTGATGTTTGTAGGTCTCTACAAACAATTGAATTTTCATAGTTCACCAGTGACGCCCTCACATCCCAATCTCATACCTCCAAATGTTGGCAAGTATGGATTTGTGCAACTATGTATGGCGAACTACACACTTAAACTGAAGACGTACTTTAAATTAAAGAGACACTATACTCATCAAAACAACTTTAGCTTAATTGACCAGTTTTGATGTATAGATCATGCCCCTGTAGTCTCACTGCTTAATTCTCTACCATTTAGGAGTTAAATCACTTTGTTTATGCAGCCCTAGTCACACCTCTTTGAATGTGACTTACTCAGCCTTCCTAAACATTTCCTGTAATGAGTCATCTGATGTTTACACTTACTTTATTGCAAATTTGGTTTGAATTAGAATTTCTTATCTCATGCCCTGTTAATAGCTTGCTAAAACCTGCAGGAGCCTCTTGTATGTAATTAAAGTTAATTTTACAAAGCAGTAGATAAAACCATTTAAAGTAAGTTACATTTGATTAAAAATGAAACCATTAGGCTTTCATGCAGGCTGTTTCAAAGACACGGGAGGTGTGGCTAGGGCTGCTTAAACAGAAACAAAAGTGATTTAAATCTTTAATGGCAGAGCATTGAGCAGTGAGACTTCAGAGGCATGATCTATACACAAAAACTGCTTCATTAAGCTCAAGTTGTTTTGGTGAATATAGTGTCCCTTTAAGTAGAGAAATAGAGGTGCACGACATATTAATATCCTTTACTGGGGCTGCAAAGCTCGCCAGCGTTTGAAAGGTCAATGTGAGAAGAATTGCCACATCTCACACAAAAAACCTTTGTGCTGAAAATATCTTCTAAGATCATCATTGACGTAACAGACACAGTTCACATGGAAGGGTCTGTATTACCTGTAATTGGTGCATCAGGGCGTGATTGCTCTTTTCTCCAAGCAGGCACAAACACAGTGATGTCTTTATGTCCTTTCTCCAAGAACCACTCTACAGCCAGCTGTATTCCTCGACAGGAAAAAACTTCTTTATTGCCATGACTAAATAAAACAAACCAAACAAAAATTAAAACACAAAAAGGCAACAGGTTAATGAAATTACACAGATAGAAATGTTTTTATCTATTATTCTAAATGCGGAAAACACATTATAGACATAAGCAACATACTGCTACGACTTAATGGAATTTAGTATGATAATTGACAATTTCCTTTAGATCTTCGAAAACGTTTATAAGAACAAAAGTCAAGTGGTTCCAATAATTCTTGCATGTTAAAGATATTTATAAACCAGACTCATGTTTGCTCCATTTCTGCTACTCTCCAGGGGCACTATTCCAAGGCAAGAGACACTAGGAAATGAAACCAGTTATGCTTTTCGAAAACATCTTTAAAGGGACACTATAGTCACCAGAACAACTACCACTTAACCCCTTAAGGACAGAGGCAATTGTACAAGTTCTGATCAAAACCAAACCTAGAATTTGAGCTATATATCTGTTCAATCCTTATTCACCTCTTTCATGTTAAATGCATCCACACTTACTATATATAATTTTGTCAAATATTTATATATGAAACAATTTAATATGAACAAAAAAAAAAGTGTGTGGAATTAAGAAATGCTAAGTTCTGCATGGCATTTTAACTGTGAATGTCATAATACTGATATCTTTTCCTGTATAAAACATACATATTTGTGTTCAAGGATGTCTCATGAGTACAACAGTACACCTCATGCAAAGGCTTTATGGGGGTTTTGGAAAGTTACTGGGTCAAATATGGCACTTTATCATTTTTAGATTTAATAAAATTAGAATTAATAAAATCACTTAATTATGTAAAAATAATAGATACATGTGTGTGTGTGTATGTATATATATATATATATTTATTTTCTATCTGTATATGTATCTATTATTTATACATAATTAAATGTTAAAATATATATCTAAATATATCTATATATATATATATTAAAAATAAAATAGGCTTAGAAAAACATTCTTTTAAAAAAAAATAAAAAATGTTTTTTTTCAGTTTGCGGGACTGTCTGACAACCCAGACAGACCCCTGCAGGCAGTTGTGTAGACCGCCATTTTAGCAATGTGAATTGATTGGGTTGTCAGGCAGTCCCCAAAATTGGGATTGTCATGGAACGTAAGTATATATCTAGTGGAGTGCTCCTAATCATTAGGGTGTACCATGCCATCCTAACCGCGTTTAAGCCCACTGTTTTTCAAGGCGGCACGGTATGCCCTAATGGTGTTAATGGCTAAATGTGGTGATTCTGGGGTCTATAGCATGTCCCTGCAGGATTTTTAATGTAGACATTGCCTTTTTAGAGCAAAGGCAGTGTGTAAATTACTGCCCAATAACACCTCAAGTGGCAGTCACTCATAGGGCCACTAGAGGTCCATCCTGATTGCCGTTCGGCGCCTTCACGCTCCGCATGGAGAAGCGGAATGTTCGCCATACAGATGCATTGTTTCAATGCATCTCTATGAGGAAACGCTGTTTGTCGTTTGTTCTTAAGGGAAAGCATTCGATTGGCTAAGATCATCAAATTTAGGGCCAGCTGCGTCGAGCACGGCACCGCATGGGGAAAAAGGCGAGTTTAAACACTGCTCTGACAGGGAGAATGGGGGTTTTAACACTATACTGTCAGAAATAAGTTTGTGTTCTAGACACTGCAATGCAAATGCCCTTAAATAGTTGTTGTTTTTAAGGCCTTCTTATTCCTTCTGCTTGCCCCATATGTCCTCTTTTTCTTCCCTTTCTTTCCTCCAATGTCTTTGTCTTTTAATTCTATGTATCTTTATTTGCTGCACTCTGCTAAGTTTTTCAGCTGTTAGGTTGCTGGTTGACCTTTCTGTTAGCCATTCTTTTTAGTGTGTTTGATGTTGTGGACTCAACATATATATTATATTATATTTTATTACTATTCTTGTGCTGTTAGTTTCTGAAATGGATTTTGTACTTATTTGACCTTTGTGGTACTTGCCTTGCTTAGGGTAAAGGGTCGAGAACACAATATGTATTCCTGACCCTATAGTGTTAAACAATTTAGCCACCTTTTCAGCTAGTAAAAACTCACATCATTTCCAGTGCTGCGTGGGTTCGCCAGTGCTTGCTCCACCCTGATCCGCCTCCTTGGCTGACATCATGAGAACTGATGATCTCAGCCAAACATAATGCTTTCCCATAGGAAAGCATTGGATTGGCGGAGATTGTCAATTCTGAAGATCTCAGTCAAGCAAGAGGGTCAGTGGGGTGGAATCAAACGCCACCCTGGTCACTTGACACCTCCTCATAGAGGTACATTTAATCAATGCATCTCTATGGGGAAAGTTCAGTGCTGCACACTAAGGAGTGGCCACTCGAGCTGTCCCTAGGCTGTAATGTAAACACTGACTTTTTGCTGTAGTTGGTCTGCAGTTTCACCACTTTATCTAACTGAATATGTCTAGCTGTCTTTTTCTAATCTCATTTCAGCATCTCAAACGAGAGACAAAGCTTGCAATTCCAATTACATCACTTCTGTCTATAGTCTCAGATGCACCTTCTACTTTTGTCTCACTGTCTCTCTTTGTATCCGTCTCTTTCATGACTAGAACTCTTAATGCACAGTTCTGGGAAGCAAAGAGAACTTTGTGAGCAAAGTCACTATTTTCTCGTTCCCTCAAATTCCCCTTTTCTAGCCTGCAGTTGACCCTTCGTCAGCACTGGCAGGATGTGTGTGCAAGTGCTCACCTGGTAGTCCTACCTACCAACTAGAGATTGGGAGCACCTGGCACATGAGCTCCATAGGTTGTTTGGCCCTTCTGGCTCTGCACCAGCAGAAACAACTTTAACACTAGAAAGAATACAACAGAGGGGTTTTACAATACATAACTTAATGTATAAATATTTATAAATCTATAAGCTTCACTTTAATATATGACAGCACCAGTAAGAGTGAATATCTAATTCTTCATATAGATAAATTATATTTAGTTGATACAGGAGCTGTTACGGACTTACTTTCCTTATTTCTAATGTGCCAGCACAGCCACTATCCAAGGGTTGTGGGTGTTACACTATTTAACACCCACTCTCCAGTTCTCCAGACATTAATGAAATTGTCAATGCTGGGGACAATCCTTCCATGATGTCTACAGGCTGGCTTCATTGCCAGTACATCAGTGCTGTCCCTCTGTTCTTCTATCAATTATAAGATGTAATTAGAGAGCAGGAGACCTATCTATAGGAGGGTAGTCTATAGTCTGTCTCCTTTCATTTCATTGTTAGCATAGATGTATGTTGCCAGATGAGGGAGGTGTCATTTTAAATTGGCTTAGCAGAAAGTGTATACATTTGCAAGTAATTCTATTATCACAAAGATCATTTTCTACTTTCACTTAAGCAAATGCCACGTCAGTTGCCAAATTTTAATAATTATGGACTTAAAACAAAAAGCTTTATTCACAATATTGAGAATAGTGGAGAATAGAGAATGAATTGCTCATTTAAATCAAAAGGAAAATGCTCCAACTCCACTATTTTGCCTAAAGTTTGCAATTCTACACATTATGAGTTTAGTGAAAAAAAACACCATAGTGTTAAACTGTTTTCTGAAACACAAGTAAATTGAGCTCTTGGTGAAATGCCCAATCAATGGTAAATAAAAAGGCAAATTCAAAATTAAATTTTTATTTTCTGCCGTGGGTTTGATAATTGACCTAAAATGTGGATTCCGATTCCAAAAACACTTCAGAATTAAATGTTATTGCACCTTTAAAGAATGCTTTATTTGGCTCAGGGTTACATGGGATTTTTAAGACAGTGAGACTGCAGGTACACTAAATATACACCAACGCACTTCATTTAGCTAAAGTTGTTTTGGTGCTTAGAACATTCCTTTAAACATTTGTCTTTAGTACAATAGTAAGAAGTATGTTTACAATAGACATGCATGCACAAAAACACATTTTTAATACCTTAGATTTCTTTTTCAAGCTAAGCAAGCTGAATATTGGACCTACCTCATTGCCACATTACTGCCATCAATGACAATAGGTCTGAGGTTTTCTGTGGTGTCCACTACTTCATCTTCTAGAGATAGCTCTGGGCTCGTAGTCTCTTTGGGACAGGCAGCTCTGGGTACTAGGTTGGTACTGCTGTTACATCCACTGCCTGGTGATTCTGATTCTCCCTTATTTCCCAGTCTCACCAGTTCGGCGAGGATGTCATTAATGAGGGCATCTGCTCCCAGCTTATTAAGGACGGCTTCAATTTGCTCACTCGTGTAGCCCAACTTTAAAGCAAAGTCCATCTTTGATTGATATTCTCTGTCCAAGTTAGCCTTTGCTTCATCTAGTTTCATCTGGTGGTCAACTGGCACCTGAATGCTGCTCTGGGAGAAGCTGGGCCGATCCAAGCAAGGAGATCTACAGAGCTGACGATGTGGCTTGTTAGAGATATCCATACCCTGGAAAAGTGTTTTTACATAGCCCCCCAAACTACTCCTTCCTCCCTGTTGCTCTGCTTCACTTTCTGAGCTAGTCCATTCATCTGATTCACCACTACAATCTCCAATGTCTTGTGTGTACTCCATCTCGTTTGCAGCCGCCCTGTCTTCCTTGGACGGCCTCTTCTTTTCCATTTCCAGTTTCTTGACCATAGACCAGGCCGTCATCACGTTCACCTGACGTCCAGAGATCTCAAAGCTCTCCTCTTTCACTTTCAAGATTGCAAGACACTTGTATTCAATAGCATCTCTTAGTCTAAACAAGACCTTCCTAAGCTCAGGAGACAAGGTATCTTGCTTGATGTATTCAGGGGCACAAAGAGATGTAATATATTCCTACAACGAAGAGGAAAACAGTTAATATTTCATTACTTTCATATACAATCTCCAAGAAATGAAGGGAGGAAAACGAGTACCTGTCAAATAGTAAAACTTTTTTTTTTTTTTTTTAAAGTAGCAACCATATATAACAATATGTAATTTCAGGAATTATATTTGTGTAGGAGAATGCCCACAAAGTTTTGAGTAAATTGTTAGTGGATGCACACTGTTCTCCCATAAAAAAGATTAAGTATACTCTGGTAATTGCATATTTTATACATTTTTGTACTCCAAGAAGTAAAAAAAAAGAACTGGTCGTTTTATTCATGTCATTTGCGTTCCTCATTGTCTATTAAAACAGCAATAAATTATGATAATAATAGCGAATGAATCAGAAAAGTTAGTCACAGGTTTATACTGTAATTACAAACTGCTAAACAGGACTAGACAAATCATTACAAACAGGAAACTATCGCTCAGCAGTTGAATTTTAACACATAACTACTGTATGGAAACATAATTTCTTGACCATTAAGTGTTAGCTATTATAATTCTAAACTGCAGATTATTCACATGGACTTGTGTTTTTTTATTTAAAAAGTTTCTCATTCTTACATTGTTACCTGCTATGGTAGAAACACTTACGAGAAAGTAGTTAAACTTAATCTATACAATGTATCAACAAATGTTTAATGATTAACGTTATAGTTTCCTAGTAACTTGTGGACATAAAAAAAATAAAAAATAAAATAAAAATCTTCTGACATGCTTGCCATTCATTAAAGTGATTTACTTACCTTACCATCCTTGCCGCTTCGGTCTCCTTAGTGTAGATCTGCCTCTTTGGCTAAGATTATCAATGTTGATCATCTCTGCACCAATCAGATGGCCTCCTGAGACCATCTGACTAAAATAGAGTTTTACTCTGTTTTATGGAATCGCATCTAGAGGCTGTCATATTGACACGCACCTGCCTTCACCCACATTTCAATGAGCTGGACTATAATCAATAAATCTACTTGCAACCTCTATGAAGTCATTAGATGTCAAAAATTGATCGGATGAAATTTTAATTTGCATTGCATATTTGTCTGTACAACTTAATTTTAAATTATAGAGAAATTAAATTAGATCAGTACATTGCGCTAGCAAAATTCCTAGTAAATGTACAGATTTCTCTAAAATCGGAGATGAAAAAAACAGCAGTTTAAACCTACTGACAGTCAGTTCAGTCTGTGCTCATCAGAACAGAGATAAGAAGGCTGTGCTCATCATGTGTGAGAGCAGCACAGAGAAAGAGAGCAAAACAGGAGTATGCAGGAGAGGTGTATCACATGCTCTTAACAGGAGGCCAGAGTAATGGAAATACATTAAAATAGGAGTTTTAAATAGTATTAAACAATCCATTTTCCTGGCACTGCAGGTCCCCTCTCCCTCACACCTCCCAATCCCCGGTTGCTGAAGGGATGAAAACCCCTTCAGTCACTTACCTGAGACCCCCCCGCCGATGTCCCTCGGCGGTGGTTTCGGGTCGCCTCCGCCACTCCTCCTCTTCATTACGTCGGCTGGTGGGCGAGACTGATCCCGCCCACCGGCCGTTGAGACCTAATGCACATGTGCGGCAATGCTGCGCATGCGCATTAGAGCTCTCCATAGGAAAGCATTAAAAATGCTTTCCTATGGGGAATTGAGCAATGCTGGAGGTCCTCAGACAGCGTGAGGACGTCCAGCGACGCTCTAGCACAGGTTTTCTGTGCTATGAAGCAGGAAGTGCCCTCTAGTGGCTGTCTAGTAGACAGCCACTAGAGGTGGAGTTAACCCTGCAAGGTAATTATTGCAGTTTATAAAAAACTGCAATAATTACACTTGCAGGGTTAAGGGTAGTGGGAGTTGGCACCCAGACCACTCCCATGGGCAGAAGTGGTCTGGGTGCCTGGAGTGTCCCTTTAAGGGAAAAAGCACCTAATTGTATAACACGAGTCAAGCCAGGTGGTTAGAACATAGCAAGCCTATATCCATCATGACTGGTTCACTTTAAACATATAAATACAAACAAAAAAATATACACAGCCCTCTTCAAGCCATAGATTCTGACCACCATATCTTTCAAATATGACTTTCTGACATCAAACTACAATGCTTTGAAAGCCCTGCACAAAGTTATTTGCAGCAACCAATTACGTTATTGAAAAGCAAAAAATTGTTGAAATCCTTGACATTTTAAGCCAGGATGTTTCTCAGTGAAGACTTTAAGGGGACACTATAGCCACCTGAACAACTTTAGCTTAATGAAGCAGTTTTGGTGTATAGAACATGCCCCTGCAGCCTCACTGCTCCATCCCCTGCCATTTAGGAGTTAAATCCCTTTGTTTATGAACCCTAGTCACACCTCCCTGCATGTGACTTGCACAGCCCTCCATAAACACTTCCTGTAAAGAGAGCCCTATTTAGGCTTTCTTTATTGCAAGTTCTGTTTAATTAAGATTTTCTTATCCCCTGCTATGTTAATAGCTTGCTAGACCCTGCAAGAGCCTCCTGTATGTGATTAAAGTTCAATTTAGAGATTGAGATACAATTATTTAAGGTAAATTACATCTGTTTGAAAGTGAAACCAGTTTTTGTTTTTCATGCAGGCTCTGTCAATCATAGCCAGGGGAGGTGTGGCTAGGGCTGCATTAACAGAAACAAAGTGATTTAACTCCTAAATGACAGTGAATTGAACAGTGAAATTGCAGGGGAATGATCTATACACTAAAACTGCTTTACTTAGCTAAAGTAATTTAGGTGACTATAGTGTTCCTTTAAAAAAGAAAACAGTGAAAGCCATCATTAACCACTTGCCAATGGCATTCAGTGAGCGGTTATGCATTTCCTAGGAATCTTGTTCAGCACAAGCATAGCCTTTTCAAAATATCAACTATAACCTGAAAGTAGCCTAACTGTTCCTTGTTAACTCTGCCAAATAACCTGGATTGTTTATTATGATGAGGTGGTGTTGAGGAAGTAATTATTAAAGGAACACCATAGGGTCAGGAACACAAACATGTATTCATGACCCTTTTGTGTTAAAACTACCATCTTGCCCTCCTAGCTCTAGTGTGGATGGCATACATTGGTACAATACCCACTTATGGGATACGTGAAGATTTGTGCTAGATGGATATCTTGTTGGTATAAGGACCATATGAAATATAGAAGCCAGAGGTGAAATAATAAAATATCAAGTGGTTACTCACATTTTATTGAGCAGGCAGACTGCTCAATGGATAAAGATTGAGTGGTATAATCCCCACCAAGGATTCTTTGGAGTAAAATTCTCACTGGAACAATAAAACTCTAGTGCCAAGTAAAAATAAATCAATTAAAATACCACAATGCGTTTCTCCCCTTAGGGCTTTCTCGTGTGGATAAAACCTTTTTAACCCCTTAAGGACATGACATGTGTGACATGTCATGATTCCCTTTTATTCCAGAAATTTGGTCCTTAAGGGGTTAAAGGAAAACTCATTTACAGGCCTAGCTTTAGGCTTACAGGTGCAATGTGGAAAACAGGAGTTTGCAAAGAAATCGTGTCCACCAGCCTGTCAATCCTGATTATCCCACTTACCATAAAAATATGTTTTTTTTTTAAAAAAGAGTCACTTTTGAAATAATCAGCTTCTGACAAATGTATTTAAAATTGTGTGACTGTTCATGTCAAACATGGTGTGGTGTTTGGATTGTCAGTATGTGTGTATTATCTTCCTGTGTGCAATGTCAGCAGATATGTTGCTGTTCCTGTGTGTATGCAATGTCAATCCTCCCTGTGCTTTGTCCTAGTCAACACCCAATATCTCCCACCCATCAACCTTTGAGTTCTCTCTATTTTATTATGGTCCTGCAAATCCTCCACAGACTTCAGAGTTAAACTCATGCTGATGCACAAGAGTAGAGCACTGATGACGGCTCCTGGAAAATGAGCGACGACGAGCTGAAGCAGATGCGCTGGATCAAGATCTCCGGTAGGGACAGTTATAAGTTAGTAAAACCTACCATCCCCTGCACCCCCAGACACCAAGTTGCAAAGCCACCACTACGGGAGGGGTGAGTGTTTCTAAAAAAATATGCAGACTCTAGAAGGTGACAATATTGCCGATTTGGATTAATAGTATGTTTTTACTTGTATAATTGTATATTGTAATAATCAACACAAAGAAGAAAGAATGGTGCAGGGAAGCTCCTTGCACCACAACCTATACAAAATGTCATAGTATGTACATATAGAATCATTTTAAGAAATTATGAAAACTATAAGGATGGTTCCTTGATTATGCGACAACGAACATCCAGATATTGAATAAAGAAGGTAGATGGAAAGGAGAAGGCAAAGCAAAAAAGGGAACAGGGAGAAATAAAACATGCCCAACAGATGAAGTTATTTGTGATTGCTTCTGTAATGACCATAACTATTAGGTAGTTCCTGAATATGATATTACTTTGCAATAAATGAATAGGTAATAAAAGCATCAAGTAATGGAAAAGCTCCACAGTTCACATAACGCTTTTTTAAAATGACATAACAAAATCTAAGTTCATTGATTGACATAAATGTTGTAATAAAAAAACATATTTCTGTCATCCAAGAGACGGTTTAATCCACATTTTGAATGTGCAGAAAGATATGTTGAAATCCGCATCAGAGAATGTCTCTACACATCACAATATAATGAAGCATAGTCACAATCAGCCGGTATCACTTATTCAGAGCCTATACTGATAACCACAGTCTCTTTCAGATTATCAGTCATTTTTTTTGGACCAATTGGTATAACCAATACCTATATTCTCTACATTTAAGTTTTGGGGGTAAAAAACAAAAACCTTAATTTCTACATAAATCTGGCATTAACTGAAAATGTCAGCAATCACACTCAAGTCACTTTCAAACAGTCAGTATTATCCTGAGATCAATGAGCTCCCAGCATGTATAGTGCTGTTACTGATAGCAGTGTGATTACTGACAGCAATCAAACTCCTATCACATCAGCCAACCCTGTATATTGCAGTAGATTATTCACTCTCACCTCCCTGCCTTCAGCTGAGCTCCACATGTGGAAACTCACAGTGTATCGGCAAGGTGGTGATATGGAAGTACATTGGTTGGTGGCTGTAGTTGCGGCAGATGGCATGCAGTGACTGGGAGAGGTAAGGCAATATCGGTAAATTAAAAGACTGATACTGATGATCAGAAATATGCCGCATATCAGGTGTAATAAACAGCAGAACCGATAATTGATCTATCCCTAGTGACAATTCACCAACCAAGCTTTTCTTTTCTCTTTGCCGAGCTTCTAAACAAGTGAGAAAGGCAAATATGCTAGCTATCCAGCTAATCCATTGCTGATGGATTGTGGCAACTGCACAGCATTCACTCTATGTCCCAATGCTTCACAAGGAGAGACACTGGATTGGCGGGGAGATCAGATCATCACTAGTGATGATCTCCTGTAGGAGCGAGAAAATTGTCTTGCTGACGGATTTTTTTTTAAGGGCACAGTAGGTTATGAGGGGCACACTAAATCTAAAATAAAAAGAGAAATGTATTTTTAATGATGGAGTGATCCTCTAATAGCACATAATCCATTTTATGTTATATATTAATACTAATTAATTACCAATAATCTCTACAAATCTCAAGATATCTTCAAACCCTAGTGCCTACATTAAGCATGTTTCACCTGGTATTTAATGAACCTACTCAACATTCCACTTCAAGTAAGAAATGATCTTTCAGCCAATTGCTACTCCATTAATTTATGGCGGAAATTGTGCAGATATGCATCTAATCTCAGACATGTGCTCAGTAATCCTCTGATATATAGATGGAATGGGCACACAGTGGCTGAATGTCCCATTTACAAGTACAAACAGCTCCTCCTAAAGTGGGAGACTAGTATTGGGAGGAAGCAACAGCATATTTGGCATCACACAAAAAGGTTATGATGGGTGCAGCTTGGTACCTGGAGTGTCCCAAATGAGTCACGATGTAAAGAAAACAGTAAATCAAATCAATACATGCAAACATAAGCTTACAACGGTCTAGAAGATTGACACCAAGTAATAAAAATGGTAGGGGTAAACTTCTCAAATGACTTCCGTAAGCCAAAAACATGATAAAATGGGGCAAAAAGCCAGCAGTATTTTACTACCAAACAAGTTGTTCTGTAGATTTTATCTTCATAAAGGCGCAAATGCATTATTAAGGCCAAACTAAGAATAGCCAAGTGAAAACAGACAAATGGTGACACAGTAGGACATTATAAATCTCTCTAAGGCTATAGCAAAGTAGACGACTATAAAGTCTTCTATAGTAAGGAGAAAGTTAAACAGGAGGACAAAGAAAAATAATAAATTATATATATTTATTTCTACAGAAAGTTTTGTGGACACAAGGAAGAGCCTTACAGGTAAAAGTCGTAGACATCAATACACTAGAACATAACAAATAAATAAATAATAAACACCACCAAACAAAGAGAAAACATTCTGATGGATACTTTGCTGTTCTGAGCAGGAAACAAAATAAAAACTAAAGCAGGTGTGTTTAAATAGGTAACAGGGAAATGAGACGGGGCCAATTCTTTTTTATCTGACATCAAACAATTTTTCCCTGAATGCAAGCATACAATGAAAAATGCTACTCTTACATCAGAAGCTATAAATAGAACATTAGCAACATATTTTTAAAGCTGAAAATTACAAAAGCAGTATCAATGCAAAGTTCTATGAATGTAATAATGACATGGCAAAATGGGTATTCTAACAGTAGGTTACACACATCTTTATGCAATTCTGATACCACTTAACGATCGAACACGGGGGAGCAGGAAGTTTACTATTTTAGGTCATACTGTTGGTCAGTTACAGTAATTTCTTTAGACTTGAGACACTAAAGTTTTTTTTAACTTTTGGTTTTCCTATCCTTATGGCCCCTATATTTTAAAGGAACATTTCACAGTCCGAAAGCACTTTAGCATGTTGAAGTGCACTTTTATAAACTAACAATGTTTCCCAAATCCCCCCACCCCCTCATGTTATCAAACTGTTATTTTACTTCCTGGTAGTTTCTCTGAGGTAAATTCAAGAGGCAGCAATTGCCTAGAGCATCTGCCTTGCAAAGATGTCTCATTGAGCTGCATTGGGAAATCCCAGAAAGTCTGGATGGGGTTTAAAAGGTTGCAGACTAGAGATCTACAGCTTTTAAAAGACGTTTTTAGACATACCCCCAATGAAAAACAAAATACATAATTAAACACATGCATGTTTTCTTTGGGGTTACATCTACTAAATAGTGTTTATTTACATGTTATTATTTGGGTAGTAGAGTATCCCTTGATAGTACTCTTCTCCTTGACGCTTGCTTTTTTTTGTACGTATGATCTTTTCTTCCTAGTGCTCTCAATATCTGGATGCAGCCATTTTTGTTCTCCTCTGCCCATTATGTATGTGGTTTGCCCTTCTGTGGGCTTC